CGGGCAGGCGGTACACACTCGGGGTCGGCTACCCTGGGTCTTTCTGGGGGCTCCGGGCTATGGGGTGGTCGCTGGGTGCCTGGCCCCTGGTGACTCAGGCAGAGGAGTGTCGCCTGCCGGGTGCGGGGCAGGTGGGGGAGGGCTGGCTCTGGGGGGCCGGGCCCTGCGCTGTCCCTAAGGGCTGGCTTGCTGGGAGGGCCATCTGTCCCCAGCCAGGATGGGTTTTAGGGTGTCAGAGCATCATAATACGCAGGAAACTTTAAAAAAGCCACACAGCATCCTGCAGACACTTCCCACTGACCCAGCGCAGGGCCTGGATCCCTGGCCCAGCCCAATGAGCCTCTCCACGCCCTGCGTCACCTCCACGGTGGCCCCAGCCTCCGTCCGTCCCCTCCCCGCCCCCGCGTGCCCGTCGCTCAGCGCTGCCTGCTCCGTGGGGAGGTCCCTGGCGACGGTTTCTCACCTGAGTCGCTTTTGTGTTCCAGACCGCGGCAAGGTGGTTGGGGGCTTACCTGACGTGGTGACCATAATGGAAGGCAAGGTAAGAGCGAGCAGGACGCAGGGCTGGGGCAGCGTGAGCTCAGCTGTGCTCGTGGCCCTGAGCTGGGCCGAGCCCCGGGGCCGGGGGCAGGAGGGTGTTGCTTGGCCCCCCACGTCCTGCTGTTGGGGGGCTGCCTCTGGGGCCCCTCGTTATCAGAGACCGAAGAGTCTGACACTCTGAAGCCAGGGGCTGTGGGACCCAGTGCGTGGCTCAGGGCCCGCACGGTGGGAACGTGGCTGCTGCTGCCGCTGGGCGTGGGTGTCCCCTGGTTCTGGTGTCCGCCGGCCCCGGAGCAGGAGCAGGGGGAGCCCCCCTCACGTGTGAGTCTCAAGGTCCCCTCCAGCCTTCAGGGCCCCTTGGGGTGGACACCGGCAAATGCGTCCTGGGTTCTGCCTTATCTCGTTGGTGGCATTGCTGGCCTCTGACCGGTCCCTCTGGGGTGCGCCGGGGCTTCGAGCTGCAGGGACACAGATAGCTGAGGGGCCTTTACTGGGCCGGCATCCCGAGCTTCATAGATCTTTCCTGTAGCTGCTAAGGGAAGCCCCGAGCCGAGGCTGGACGGTCGCCGAGCGCGTGGCAGAGACGCCTGGGTCACCACAGAGGTTTCCTCTGTCCCGGCTGGGGGCAGGCTCAGCCGCGCGCCCACAGTGCGTGGCTGCATGCAGTTGCCAGTGTGTTCTCTGGGCCAGAGGAGCTGGTACGCGGGTCCGTAAGGGAGGAGGAAGGAAACCGAGAGCCAGGCTGGGCGCGGCTGCTGTGCCCGTGGCACACGGTCGCCTCTGAGCTCCTGAGCGGCGGCGACCATGGATCAGCCTGAGGACGAGCAGGCGTGTGCATGGCCCCCTCGTGAGCCGCCCCAGGGGACGGCGCGCTCGGGTGCCCCCCGCGCTCCCGACCCTGGTGTGCAGCCCGGGGCTCCCCCGTGCCAGGAGCAGGCCGGCTATTCGAAGGCCGCGGGCGGTGGCTGGCCTGCCCCGAGGTCACCGCCTCTCTCTCTGTGGCCCCCAGACCTTGAACCTGACGTGCACGGTGTGCGGCGACCCCGCCCCCGAGGTGACGTGGTTCAAGAACGACAAGGACATCGAGCTCGGCGAGCACTTCTCCGTGCAGGTGCAGCAGGCCAAGCACGTCAGCGTGACCATCAAGGGCGTCACCGCCGAGGACTCGGGCAAGTACAGCCTCAGCGTCAAGAACAAGTACGGCGGCGAGAAGATCGACGTCACGGTCAGCGTGTACAAGCTCGGGGAGGAGACGCCGGCCGCCGGCCCGCCCC